AAATAAAATTAATCATTATTCAACATATAGTAATAAAAAAGCTGCAATTGTTGAAAGATTTAATAGATCACTCAAAGAATTAATGTGGAAACAATTCAGCTAGTAAACTGCTTGAGAAGACGTCCGAAAGACTAAGTATGAAGGATGCGCCTGAAAGACACCTGAAAATGCGATTCAAAGTTGGTGATTATGTAAGGATTAATAAATTAAAGCATATGTTTGAAAAAAGATATATACCTAATTGGTCAACTGAAATATTTGTAATAGATAAAGTTTTTAAAAACATACCTCCATATTATCATATTAAAGATATGAAAGGTGAAGGGATTAAGGGAACCTTTCATGAACAAGAACTACAAAAAACTAAAATTCCAACTAACATCTATTTAGTTGAAAAAATATTAAAAGAAAAGGAAATAAAGTTTATGTTAAATGGCTAGGCTTTGATAATACACATAACCAATGGATAAATGAGAAGGATCTAATCACTTCGTAAGCGTCCTTAGGACTTAGCGTCCCTTGGACCTGTATTATAATTGGTCTTGATTCAGAGTTTACCACTCTTGGAATTTAGGATTTCTGTCAATATTTGGAGGGTTTTTTTTCCAATATTTTGTTAGTTTTTTTCAATATTTTAGAAGTTCTTCTTTTTGTTGCTTTTATGAATGATTTTGGTGTTTTTTTAGCTGATTTTGGTGCAGGAAAAAATGCGGCCCAGAACATACCCTTTTGTATACTACTGAGTTCCAGCACGACAAGCTTCTCGAACACTAGGAAGCTCTGTCGGAAAGCACGTACGTGAGAACCGACATGCCAACGTTAGCTGAGGAGGCGTACCTGATGCAGAAGGGCATGTTCTTGGACACGCTTTGACGCCTCAGAGCCGCGGAAAGGACCGAGACTCCAGCTTTCGGCCCGGCGCCGTCTCATCCGGCGCGAACGATCCTGCCGAGAATCCAACTCCCGCAGTTCTCTGGGCTCTACGAGGACTGGCCGTCATTCCGCGACCTCTTCCACTCGCTCATCGGGAAGGACACTTCCGCTGCCCCGGTAGAGAAGCTGCACTACCTCAAGGCGTGCCTAAAAGGAGAGGCAGAGCTCTTAATCCGCAGCCTTCCAACGACCGACGAGAACTTCGAGCGCGCGTGGAAAGCGTTAACGGACTATTACGAGAACAAGCGCCTGCTCGTGCGGTCCTACATCGCGAGGTTCACTGCAATACAGCGGATGAAGGGTGAGTCGAGTGCGGACTTGCGCAAGGTCTATCATGGCGTGCTGAACACCGTCGGCTCACTCGAGAGCATCAGGAGACCGATTATTCTCGGGGAAGACCTCTTCGTTCACCTCGTCGTAGAGTTCTTAGACTCCCAGTCGCGCCGCAAATGGGAGAGTGCGATCGGCGACACGACGGAGCCGCCGACGTACGTCTCGCTGATGCAATTCCTCGACTGACGGCTTCACACGCTCGAGTCGTTGCCGCCGAGCAAAACGGAGTCGAGTTCCGCGAAACCGGTTACGAATTCCGGGCGTCCGCCGCGCGTTCTTCACGCCCGGAAACCGGAGAGCAAACGCGGTCAGTGTATGATGTGTCACCAAGAGCACTATATCATGCTCTGCGACGCGTTCAAGGCAAAGACGGAAAAGCGTCGGAAGGCGTCGGAAAGAAGGAAGCACGTCGAAGCAAACCAGCTGTGCCTCAACTGCCTTGGGAGGCACAGGGCAAGCGAGTGCCCGTCCAAGAAAACATGCTCGTCGTGCGGCGAACGGCATCATTCGCTTCTCCATCACGCAAGCAACACCTCCGAGGTCGCCAGATCGTCGCCCTCCGCGAACCGAAGCGCGAGGGTCGCACCAGCAGTGCTTTTCGCGACCGCGCGCGTTCGAGTGGCCGACAAATTCGGAGTCCTGCACGCCGTGCGCGCCTTGGTGAATCAGGGCTCCGAAATCACGCTCGTGGCCGAATCGCTAGAGCAGCGTCTGCAGCTGGCCCGCGCACCTACCTTCATCGCTATCGTCGGCGTTGGCGGGCGATCCACGGGCGCTCGGGGCCAGGTTGAGCTCGCGCTCTTGCCGCTGCGCGACGGCTCGCCCTTGCAGATCTTGGCCTTCGTTCTGGACCGGCTGACGACGACCAGCGGCGGCCTCCGTGCAGACCGGCACCTCGACAACCTGGAGCTAGCCGACCCGGACTTCTTCGCCGCCGATTCAGTAGAGCTTCTCCTCGGCGCCGATGTCTGCGCGGACATCCTCCAGCCAGGTCTCCGCCGCGGAGGATGCCACTAACCTGTGGCACAGAAGACAACGTTGGGTTGGATCCTGTCGCGCGCCGTCGGCATCACGGCCGCCGCGCGGACCGCTTGCACATACCATTGCTGCAGAGACGACGGCCTCCACTCCCTGGTGCAGCAGTTTTGGCAGCAGGAGGAAGGTGACGCCACAGCTGCGGCACTCACCGTCGCCGAGAAGGAAGCCGAGGAACACTTCGCCCGTACGCATTCACGAGACATCAGCAGCCGCTTCGTGGTCCGACTTCCGCTCACTCCGCCGTTACCAGACCTTACTGGGACGCCGCCGCCTGCTCGGGCAAATGGAGCGGAGGTTCGCCCGTGACGAGCAGCTGCGACGTCTGTACTCTGCCTTCATGCAGAAGTACGAGGCCCTGGGGCACATGTCCCCTGCTCGGCCGGGCACAGCAATGCCCTTTGAGTGCTTCCTGCCTTACCACGGCGTGATGCGCAAGGCAAGCTCCTCGGCCAAGATCCGGGTCGTCTTCAACGGCTCGTCGACCGTGGCGTCCGGCGCGTGCCTCAACCGGCACCTCAAGATGGGGCCGAACCTCTTGCCCGCCTTTGATGACGTGCTGCTGCGATGGCGCATGCATCGATTCGTGCTGGCGAGCGACATCGAGAAGATGTATCGCCAGATACTCGTCGTCCCTGAGGACCGCCACTTACAAAAAATCCTCTGGCGTCAAGACGACAACACAGCTCCGAAGGAATACGAGCTCAACACGGTCACTTACGGCCTGGCATGCGCCCCGTTTTTGGCCATCCGCTCCCTCCGGCAACTCGCCAGCGACGAGGAGGCCCTTTTCCCCCATGAATCAGCGGTTCTGCGCCGAGACGTCTACGTGGACGACATCTTCACGGGCGCACCCTCCATCAAGGAAGCCATGGACTTCCAGCGGCAGCTGACGGAGCTGTGCACGGCGGGCGGGTTCCCGCTGAGGAAGTGGTCGGCGAACGACCCCGTCTGCTGGACCACATCCCGGCGGAGCACCGGACTCAGCGCGACTGGCTGTCCCGGACTCCACAGGAGAGTTACGCTACTCTTGGCCTCCAGTGGCACTCGAGCATCGACTGCTTCTCCTTCTCCACCAGGTCCATCGCGGTGCCAGCGTTCACAAAACGGTCCGTCCTCTCGCTGACGGCTCGCCTCTTTGACCCGCTGGGCTGGCTGGCACTGCCCGTGATCTGGTCGAAGATACGGTTCCAGTCCACATAATTGCAAGGCCTGGCCTGGGACGCACCGCTGGGCGACGCCGACGCATTGCTGTGGAGGAGGTACACCGACGACCTGCCAAGTCTGGAGGAGATTCGCGTCCCGCAGTTCATTCGTCTCAGCGCAGCAGGCGCGTGAGTTGAGCTGCACGGCTTCGCGGACGCGTCCGAGCGGGCCTACGCCGCCGTCATCTACGCGCGGACGGAGACCTGCAATTGAGGCCGGAGGACAAACCGTCATTGTCAAAGGCGGGCCAGGAGGTAAAGTCGCCAATTCTAACGGCATTCAGAGGAAAAGTCACAAAGATGCGTCCGGAATTCCGGAAGTCGGATTCGGAAAGCGACTGGGAGCCAGTGCAGAAGAAGAAGGTGCTCAGGAGATCAGTGCGAAAATAGGCGATCCGTACCTGGAAAACATTAAAAACAGTTTACTCAGACAATTAGATTTATGAGACTGATTAGTTGTAAGTTTTATTCTGTTTTTTTTAAGCGCGAACCTTTTTATATTTGATCATTTATTTGTCAAGCGCGACCTGTGAATATATGAATCTGTGATAACAGAGGTGCAAAAGTGTAGCACCCGGAGTGATACACCCAAAGTACAGTTCGTCTGCACTTTTTATAGCAGATATTATAGCTTAAAAAATGTATATAGTCCAGTCACGTAGTATATTGTTTAAGGCATAGTTTTAAGGAAAACACGATCCGAGCAAAATATTTAGTTTTTACACCCAGTGTGTAGTACCGATGATAGCCAAAGAGCATGCGCATGCGCAAAAACCTCCCAGGAGGCGGTACCCCAATGTTAGGGAAGATACTTAGTGGGGAGACGAGAGAGTAGGGAGAGGATATAAGCGAGCGCAGAGCGACTCTCGGGGCCTTTTTTCCCGGGAACCAAGCGTCTGAAGAAAATAGATCTTGAGGGTTTTTTATTTAAGAAGTCAAAGGAGATAGTCGCGAAGCAAAATCTCTTGTGCGGATAAGAGATTCGTGATTGAAATAATAATAAAGACAGTTTTATTTTATTTTAGAAATAGAGCGCGAAAGATCTCTGGAGTGTGGAGATTCGCGAGAGACTGTGAAGTATGTTCGAGAAGTGTTGAATATTATATATACATACATATATATATTCTTTAAATATATTATATACTTTCATATATTAAAAATAGAGTGAAAGTGATTTACTTACCTCGAACCTGAAAAATCCTTACCTGTGCCCGAGAGCCGATCCTGTGATATCCAGTGGGTAGTCCAATAGTCCTTGGGCGTTAATCCGGTGAATCCAGCGGTGACCTGAAACAGAGAAACAAAAGATAATTAGTGAAAAAGGAATATAATCCAAATGATTAACGTTGGACAAATTGCGTCGTCCCGACGTATGCTAAAAGTGTCGATCCAGCATCATCCAGCGGGTGTCCATGGGCGTTGATCTGTTGCATCCAGTGGCGACCTGAAACAGAAAGATAAAGGGAAGTTAAGAAAACTTGACAGAAAGTCGAGATGATACGCAGCAGCGTGAATAGCAGCGCAATCCTGACGCTGAGCATCCTGACCGACGGCAGACCTGAAGGGGCGTCGTTCCAGGGCATTCCTTGTTCGTAGGCGGTTAAACAAACTGGCGACCGTTAAAGAAGGTAGGAAAACCTGTATTCTGAGTAAATTTCTCCATCTCGACTAGTTTGTCCGGTCACACAATGAACACATTCACACAACATTAGTTTCAGCAAAAACCAAGGTGGCGCCGCTGAAGACCGTGACTCTACCTCGCTTGGAGCTCTGCGCAGCCTCTCTGCTCACGCGGCTGGCGGCGCGCGTGCGGCGGGTTCTCGGGGCCGAAGATGCGCCCATCCACCTGTGGTCCGACTCAACCGTCGCTCTGGGCTGGATCCGCGGCCACCCGTCTCGCTGGAAGGTGTACGTCGCCAACCAAGTCGCCGAGATCCAGACTACACTGCCTGGGGCCCAAAGGCACCACCTCTCTGGGACGGAAAACCCCGCCGACTGCGCATCGCGAGGCATCTCCCCGTCCGAGCTGGACACCCACCCGCTCTGGTGGAAGGATCCACCCTGGCTGAGGGAGGACCGGACATCGTGGCCAGACTTCCGCGACGAGGAGCTCGCCGAGCAGCTGCCGGAGGAGCGCGTTAGAGCGCTCGCTGCCACCGCGCCAACGGCGGAGGCGACCGAGCCAGAGGAGCTGACTCGTTTCTCCTCGCTGAACCGGCTGCTGCGGGTGACCGCCTGGTGCAAGCGTTGGAGGCGCCGAGTAGCGGCTCTGCGGGCGCCCCCCCCCCCCCCGAAGCTGCTCCCGGCTACGGACACCCTGTCGGCCGCGGAGTGGGACGACGCTTGCCTGGCATGGATTCGGGTGGTGCAAGCTGAAAAGTACAACGAGGAATCAGAAGCGCTCGCACGGGGAGCCCCACTATCTAAAAGCAATCAATTGATTAAGCTTACCCCGTTTTTAGATCCTCAAAAAATGTTCAGGGTGAGTAAAAGGCTTAAGCATTCCATCCTGGCCTACGACGAGCGACATCCGGTGATCCTGCCAGGCTCGTCGCATCTCACGCGACTCATCATCGAGGCCTGTCACCGGCGAACGCTGCACGTGGGCGTGCAACTCACCCTCGGGTCCATCAGGCAGCAGTATTGGATACCCCGAGGGCGGCAGCTCGTCAAGGAGGTGATCCACCGGTGCGTCACCTGCGTCCGATGGCGGGCGGCCACGCAGCAGCAGATCATGGAGAATCTGCCACGCCTCCGAGTCACGCCGGCGAGATCATTCCTGAGCAACGGCGTCGACTACGCCGGCCCCATTCAGCTCCGCACGACGAAGGGACGCGGACATCGCGCGTACAAGGCCTTCATCGCGGTCTTCGTGTGTCTCAGCACGAAGGCCGTGCATCTGGAAATCGTGTCCGATTACTCGGCGGATGCATTCCTAGCCGCCCTGCGGCAATTTACAGCTCGGCGGGGGCTCTGTCGCAGCGACTGCGGCACAAACTTCGTCGGGGCCGACGCTCAACTTCGAGCGTTCTTCGCCGCCAGCAGTCCGGAGCAGCGGAAGATCGCCGACCAGATGGCCAACGAGCGGATAAGGTGGTGCTTCAATCCACCGTCAACACCCCACTTCGGCGGACTTTGGGAAACGGCGGTGAAGTCCTGCAAGCATCACCTCAGGAGAGTGCTCGGAGAATAGACGCTCACATTTGAGGATATGAGCACTCTCCTCGCGCAAATCGAGGCCTGCATAAACTCCAGACCGCTGCAGGCGATGTCCGACGATCCGGACGACGTGGCGACCTTGACTCCAGGGCACTTTCTCGTGGGATCGGCCCTCAACGCCATTCCAGAGGCCAGTTTCCTGGATGTGCCAACCGGTTGCCTCTCTCGCTGGCAACTGCTCCAGAGGATGCGCGACCATTTTTGGGACAGATGGTCGCAAGAATACCTCCACTCGCTGCTCCAACGGCCCAAATGGTGGGCCGCCAACGAGGAAGTGCGCGTCGGGCGACTCTGCCTCATCCGGAGCGACAACACGCCGCCAACGCGATGGCCTTTCGCCCGGATCACGAGCGTGCACCCGGGAGCCGACGGACGAACCCGCGTGGTCACCCTTCGCATCGCAGCATCCGAGCTGAAGCGCCCAATCGCGAAGATCATCCTCCTGCAGGAAAGCCGCTCCGACGAGCAGGGGAACAAGCCCGCGCGCCGCGCGTGACGAGTCCACCCGTCGGGCTGCAAAAAGAAAAAAACAATAACAATAGTTTATGCGAACAACACGAAGCATTTCCGATTAATCGCGCTATCATTAACGATTCGAGAACTGCTGTCGCTTCCGTTTCCGTTTCCTTCAGCGGAATTGTTTTACAGCGCGAGCCAATTATGATAAGAGAATGTTTGCGACAGGCGTGAGTTCATGAATTATCACGCGTGACAATTATAATAACACAGCAGTTCTCGATTCGAGCACAATGTATTTCGTCGAGCATACGCGAGGTACACGCATCAATTTGCTATACGATTGGTATAATTAACACGAGCGTATAAACAAAATTGTATAACAATTACCTGGCGTCTTTTGCGGCCTCTCGCATAGTCGATCAGCTGTGACGTTCCAGCTCGCGCTCCCGCGTTTCGCTCCCCGCGTCTACGAGCCAGGCGTGGAATTCAGCGTCACGCGGCTCAGGTGAGGCTAGGTGAGCCTCGCGCTGCATCTCCTGCGCTGGAAAACATAATTAGCACTACCTATGCGATTAAATCACTCATACTCACCGATCACTGTCTCATGCCACGATATCTCCGCCTCGTTCCCGTCTCGTCTCGGCGAACACTCCGATGCACCGTACACACAGAAAAATATTATTCTATTGCTAAGTAAAATGATTAGTCAGTTTACTTTACTTTTTCTAAGTAACAATTATCTTTAACAAAGAATATTTTCCTAATAATAGTGTTAAAATAGACTTATCACAAATTTTAGAAATACTTATTATCATGTACTCAAAACAAGTAAACATTTTCTTTTAAAGAATATTATAAAATTTTATCGAAGAAAAGTCAGATATGGTTAATTAAAAGTAAGAAAATTTATTAGATCAGAAAAATTTAATGTATTTCTTTCAATTATATAATTTAATATTCTTGATTGAAATATTAAATTTATTAGGATTCAGAATATATTTTGAATAAATTTGATGCTTATGATGAACTTATGATAGATTTGCGGATATATGAACTTATGAAATACTTGAAACAAATAATATTTACTTGTATACAGTATGTATTTTTTTGTGTGTAGCACTCCGCCACGCACTGCACAATTCTCGCGCATCGACCACACGTGTCGCCGATCGACCACGTGCCGTGGATCATACGCGAGCATCGTGCGTAACTCGCGGCGCCGTTCATTCACGGCCAGTCGCAGGGCCGCGCCATGCGGCGACTCACGGGACGCTAACCAGCGGCGTGCTGTGTCGCCGGAGTTTCGGCGAGGCGGGCGGGATGTTTGAGATTGAGCGTTTCTAAAGAGAGCGCTCGAAAATTGGCGCGTTAGCGGCCATGTCGCGCGGCGCACGGCTCGCCGCAAATCAGATCACGCGCAAACAGCGGCGCTGCACGAATCACGCCAGGCCCGCGGCATCGCTTGTGCCGTTCGAAGCGGGCCACGCAGCGGTCATCCGAGAGAGCTAGATTTATAAACAAATGCGAATAACAACGTTATAAGTTTCCTAATCATCGCAAACAACACCAAGCTCGATCTTTCGCGAAAACACGTCGAACATTCTAGAATAAGCAAAAGAACGATTGTACAAAAGCTCTTTCGGGGAACCGTCGGGTGCACTCGATCGTGATCTCCATCCGTGACAGTGTGTTATTATATCGTCTAAACTTTCGTGATAGAAAAGTCGCTCGCTTTTCTAGTTCGTACTCTCGCTTACGAAACACGAAGTTTTCGATTGTAATAAAAGAAATTTTTCGTCGCTCGCGATTAATCTCTCGCAATTAAAACGCGCCGTTTATTCCGTCGCTCGCAGAATTGCGCCGTTTATACCGTCGCTTGCGGTATTCAAGATACATCCGCTGCTCGCGGAGAGTATCTTTGCGCGTCAGGTGCAAACTCGATCTCGCAGGGCTTCTCTCGCCCACGTCCACTTCTTTCTCGCACAATCCTGAACTCTTGGCCTTGCAGAGTGCATTGCACCAGGTCCTATTACACGAGTTTCTTAAATCCATAATATTTTCTGATTCACTGAGTGCATTGAGCAGCCTTTCTTCCCCTGACTACAAGAGCAATTTGCACCTAGTTGCATATAGAACTAAAGCTTCACTTTACTCTATCTACAAAGCTGGCCGTCAGACCAAGCTATTTTGGATCCCTGCTCATAGGGGAATACGTGGTAACGAAGAGGCTGACGCTTCCGCGAAGGGGTTTCTTCTTCTTCCTGACTTTCTCCTTTTTGCAAAATGCCACTATACCAACCTATACTCCCGCTTTAAACAAGAAGCGAAGAAAGAAGCCTCTAACATCATAAAGGAAGAAGCAACCATAAAAGGAAGGAGATATTTTAACAGGGTAGATTCAACATTGCCCCCCCCCTGGTTTGAGACCATAGGCAACCGACTACCTAGACCTGTCGTCATTCTGACGTCCAGACTCAGAACATTCCACGTCTGCGTTATCTATCATCTGGCGGAAAAGAACATTGTCTCCAGCCCGGCCTGCGCCTGTGGTCACAACGACCAAACAATTAATCACACATTTTTCGACTGCCCTCTGCTGGCAGAGTATTCCGGCGCTTTGATATCTGACCTTTATCGCATCGATCCAATGGTGGATCTGGATATTTCGACGATTGCCTTTTCTAAGAACACCAAACTACTGTCTGCACTATACAAATTTATAGTTAATGCTCAATATCTGAACCTGAACACAAAAAGTCACCTAATCACTTATGAACTTATACTACCCACGATTTTCTTATAACAAAACAGAACACCTGAGAGAACTCAACCAACAATAACTCCACGGCCGCTAAGCTACTCGAACACCAACTGGCGTATGGGCTAAACCTAAGGGCGCCCAAGAGCCATAAAGAGAAGAAGAAGAAAAAACATAATTAAGAACTCATACATGCGTTCTTCTTTTTCTAATTATAAGCGATTACAGCAAATTCGCCAGCAATCGTAGTTGTAACAGCCTTTTCTTAAATGTATCAACAGTCAAAATGTATAAAAATTTAGATGCGATGCGCTTGATCGAATTGTGCGTAAACGAACTGTGCGCAAACGAACTGTGCGCAAAAGAATTGTGCGCAAACGAACTGTGCGTGAACAAACTGTGTGCAAACGAACTGTGTGTAAATGAACTGTGTGTAAACGAATTGTGTCCACTGTAACAGACGTTTATTTACAAAATGAAGTTAATAATGAATGTCAAAAAATTTCAAAATTATATATGCATACATGCGTGTGTATGTATTCCAAATTATACATAAATATATGTTGTGTCCAAAAGCAACGGTGTCCAATTAAACGGTGCGCAAATAAAATGTGTCCAAACAAACTGTGCGCAATTGAAACGTGTCCAATCGAACGGTGCGCAACTTTATGTGTCAAATAGCACAGTGTGCAATTGCAACGTGTCCAATTGTACTGTGCACAAGTGAGCCTCTCCCACATCCCACATGCAAAGGATTATACTTGTTTACATTAACCGTGAGATCGAGGATTCGCGATAACGCCCACCCGCTATCGCGTTCCTGGAACTCTTCGGGGGACGTCAATGTGGGTTCGATACCACGTAACTCATACCACTCACGCAAGTTCGATGTTCGGAAGAGTTCATAGTTTCTGGTACTGATACTCTTATTGGCACGTTTATCACCCGTCACAAACTCGCCGTTGAATGCGGTATTCACTCTTACAGCATTGTCTTTTTATAGCGTCATGCACTTGCTCGAGCACCACATTAACCGCGTCTATCAAAAATTGTTGCGGTTCGATAAAGTCTGCGTTAATCACCGCATCGGTCAGTATGCGGTTTTTGAACGTGGTATCGATCCCTCGCCAAAGGAGTCTTTCCGCGCCACTACTAGTACCCGCATAGTCACTACCGCTATGTATAAACCGTCTCTCTAATCGAGTTCTCGCACCTTCGAGTCGCACGATTCTGGCCACCAAAGATTGTCTGTTTCCGACCGAGAGCCGCGGACGCTAGGCACGACTGCGTTCCTCGAGCTGTTTAATAAATTCCTCGCATTGCTACGTCCACGCAAAATACTCGCCCAAGGTAGCGACAGCTCCAACAGGTCGCGTTCAGTTTGCTCGGGATGTTCCATGTTTTATAGTCTTTTCAGCGTGTGCAAATTGGGCATATATTGCATGGAAAGATCTGATACATCGGAAGTCTGCAATTGGAGCAGGACCGGCCATCTATCGCGTCGTGTCCCTCAATCATATGCTTTCGAACAGCATACATGTATCCGACATCAGCGTCTGACAAAGCGATCATACATGAAGTACATACAGCTAAAGCACAACCCGTGGTATAATAAAAGTATATAGTGCAACACTTTGTACGTCCTTTCAACGCAATAATCTGTAAATTAGGTACTATCTGGTCAACAATTTCCGTAATGTCCTTACTTTGATCGCTGTTATAATCACTGTTGTCTGATAATGAGTGATCTTCGTCGG